AGAACGAACTGGGGATGAGGGTGGAGAAAACAGTGCAACAATGAATGAATGAAAACCCAAAATCTCTGTAAATGTTCATTAAAACTAATAAAATTTAATTTAAAAAATAAAAAAGGCAAAGGCAAAAAAAAGATTCAGTTCTGCCTCAACAGCATACAGCAACAACAACATATAAATAATTACAGAAAGTATAAAGGAACTACATTAAGTATAAAGGAACTAACTAACAAAAAGCTTTCCAGAATACTTTTCAAAACCTGCTTTATACTACTTATATTCCTAACCAAAAAGAATTCTGATGTAGCTATATTTATATATTACAATAAGAGAGCCACCTCATAATGCTAAAAGGCTTAAATTCATCAAGAAGCTATATAAATATTCTAAAGTGAGCATAACTAAAGGAAGACGGTTTTAAATCCATAACCTTGACAGGTTATTTTACCACAACTCTCTAAATAACTGGTAGTATGACCCTCCAAAAACAGTAAATATGTAAAAAAGTTGAATAACATGGTCTAATGAACACTCAAGCTTCAGATTCACCAGCTACTCTCCTGATCAAAGATGGGCAGTCTCCTCCCATGTGATTTACAACCTCTGAAAACCTGCTAGAGGGTCAGCTTTGAGTCAGTTTCGACTCTACGGTACACCACAACAACAACCACAATGAACACCACATCCAATAATTACAGAATATACATTCTTTTTTTTTCTTTTTTTTTTAAATTTTCTTTTCTAATGGAACACTTCTTGCTGATCTTCTCTGTATTGTTCCAATTTTAGTATATGTGCTGCCGAAGCGAGCACAGAATATACATTCTTTACAAGCACACATGGACCACTTCAAAAGTTTATTTATATGCCATGAATGGATGAGGCATATTTACATAATCATCATAAAATTACAATACAGGCATCAGGACTGAAAATCATTCATTTGCTTTCCAAATCCTTCCTCCACATTTCTTGAGTGCTCTTGGCCCTTTAAGGCTGATCTGTAGGACCAGCATCAATGCCTCCTTCTCCTCTGACTTCTGATTGGGTTCAACCTATGGGAGATGTTGTGTTAGGTGCTATCGAGTTAGCTATGACTCATAGTGACGCTATGAACAGCAGATATAAACCTTGCACCATCCTCTCTCTTCTCTGTGCTCATACCCATTGTAACAGTCACTGTGTCCATCTCCTTGAGAGCCTTTCTGTCCCCTTCCCTTCAACATCTCCAAGCATGTGCCTTTTTTCCAGAGACTGGCCTCTTTTGACAACATGTCCAAAGAAAGTGAGACAAAGTGGGAGAAGAGGGAGAGGGTGTTTCTTCTCCCTGTTCCCTCCCTGGAGAATTGCCAAGAATGTCTGTATCCTTCTTCCTCTATTCAACCTGCTCCTGCCGGATGACCCTCACCATGCAGCTGACCCTTCCACATTCCAGAACTATGCCTTCTTCTTACCTTTCAGACCTAGATGGGGTAATGACTCTAGAGCCATTACCTAGAGCACTGCTGCATCCTTCAAAGTTTTCCTAACATGGTCTGTGCTTTTGCTTAATAGACTTACTAATAAACCTTCTTCAAATTAGACCATTTTAGTGTGCCATCTGTTTCCTAAAAAGAAATTTAGTATTAGTATCCCTATCTGGATGAGAGCAAGCATCAATTCAATGAGGCCAGTAACACTTCAATCACACCTCCTGTCATCAGCATAGAAATAAAGATAATGTTCATTCCTTGACTGCTTAATATTATTATTGTTGTTGTTGTTGTTAGGTGCTGTTGAGTCACCTGTGACCCATAGTGACCCTATGTACAGCAGCTATGAACCCTGCCCTGTCCTGAGCCAGTCTCACTGACTCCTACACTCTTACCCCCATTGCCCCAGTCATTGTATCAATCCATCTCATCTGGGGTCTTCCTTTCCTGTGCTGTCCCTTCTCCCTTCTGAGCATGATGTCCTTCTCCAAAGACCAGTCCCTCCTGGCCACATGCCCAAAGTATGTGAGATGGAGCTTCAAAATTCTATCCTCCAAGGAGAAACTTGGTTTCACCCTCTCCAACACAGACATACTTGTTTTCTTGTCAGTTCAAGACTCCTCCAGCACCAGAACTCGCATAGAAATATATTGAAACATCTTTCATGTTTATACACTTGTATTTCTTTAATTGCTTTCGAATGTGAATTGTTACATGGAATATCTTTACTCCTTAAATATTGAAAATACTGTGCATTCCATTAAAGTGTCTATTTTCAATTCCTGATTAACTATTTGGTACTTTTTTAAAAATATAATTCACTTTGGAGGAAACCACTGAATACAATTACGATGACCCCTAAATTTAATACCACTATGGTATTTGGTCTTTCTCTCTTTTTTTTCCCCCCTGCTTTTCAGATCGCCATGAGGTTATCACCAAGGAAATACTGGAGCTGGACCCTTGGGAAAACCAATGGAATGTCGTAGCCATCAATGTCCTCATGCATGACAGTTATGACGTCTGCCTAGTGGCCAGGATGAATCCTCGAGACCTCATCCCTCCACCTTCAGATTTGGTGGAAGAAGACAATGAGCCCTGAGATCACATCTCTATAGACCCTCCCTCCTATTGAGTCTGCACACGAGGCGCTGGGAAGGAGAGAGCACACAGACAGCTCTCAGTCATCCTGGAAATGAGCCTTGCATGTGTAGTGGCCCATGTACAAAGCAAAATGTGTTCAGCATCGTGAAGCGAGGTGCCAGCATCTGCCTTCAGGGACCTCCTAGTCTAGATAGGACACTCTAAGGTAGATGTGATGCTGACTATGAGAGGAACAGAGGGTGAATGTCACAGGACTGTAAGGAGATGAAAAAATCTCACTCTGTTGAGGAGTCAAGGACAGTATTGGCCCAAAAGGCCAGTTATCAGAGCATGAAGTTTGAGTTTAGACAAAGTAGTTTTTACAAAGATGCTGAAACAAAGTTGAGCAAAAGCCCAAAATAGGAAAGTGTTGTTGATGCTTGGGGCATCACAAACAGACAAGACAGTCTGCCTGGTAAACAGGGTTTACTAATAACACTAGAAAAGCAGCTAGTAGCTTTTGTTAACCTAGTCTTTGGGCAGGCAAATTACCTAAAAGCAGAGCTGTTAAAGGAAAATAGTGCTTTGTGCTCTGATCCAGCTTCAGTCTCATAAACATTGCCTTTTCTTATTCAAAATACTGTTCTGCTGAAGTGGCACTACCAACAGTGTGACTAGAGGTGGACTTCACATCTGTAACAGCCAAAGCCCTCAAATCAAGCTACACTGAGGACAACACTTCAGTCTTGGGCTAAGTCGGTCGATGTCAGGGGACCCACCTAAGGGGCTTTATAGCCCTGGTCCACTCTGAAGTTGGTACAGAAGGTCCTGGGCTGGCCTTACCCAATCTACCTTTTCCCCAAGCTCTCAGAAACACATTATCTTCTGCAGACTGGCCTTGGCTGAATAGAACTGGACTAAACCACCCCCTAGCCCATGGATTAGGCCAGTCTCTGGAATGAAGAAGAGAAGAAGCAAAGTAACTTTGGCTCCCTGCCAAAGTTCCTCTTGAACCCAGCACTTTGCAATATCTTCCCCACATTTGTAGGGTAATGCTGGAGCCACCTTCTTCAGCCGATGATTGAGTGTGATCAATAAACTGCTTGAGTCTATTTTAGAGACTACAATTAAACACATGTGAAATGTATCCATTTTGCCTACATTTATATTTCTGCAAACAAGATGGATTTAAAGAATGCATTTGCTAGCTGTTCTTTAACAACTTTTCAAAAGAGCTTCACATTGTGCCAGGCTCTTTCTTGAGTATAAGCAAGTCAGTTGTTATCGTGTTGATTCCAGATCAAGCCAGCCTTGTGTGTCAGCCAAGCTGAGCTTCTCTGTGGCATTTACCATCACTGAGACCTTGGGGAAGTAGATCCCCAGGCATTTTCTGAGGTGCCTCTGGGTGGAATCTAATTACTTCTGTGGCTAGTAGCCAAACACAACCATGTGTACCAGCCAAGGACTCCATTTTTGAAAAATAAGTGGCCAGTAAGTCCCTGATGGAATTTTCCTAGAAAAGATAAACTCTATATTGAGCCAGTTCTCTGGTGAAGAGTTAAGTATGTCTGAGGAGATTCTCTGTCCATATGCCAAGCTTCAGTTTCTAGTTCAGACACCAAAGACAGGTCCCATGGAAAGTTGAGCCCCTATAAAATCTGTTTCTACCACCATGGCGTAGAGGCCATGACACTTGGCAGGAAGTAGGGGATCCGTATCACTGCCCAGGTAGATGGTCCTCAAGGAGGCAAGCACCATGTCTGTCCCTTTTAGTTATATTCCAAGTGCTCACATGGCACTTGACACAGATGGATCTGGGAGTGAGCCAACAAGTGCAACAATTCTAAACAGGAGGTCTTGGTGTATGACTATCTAATAGTATGAGTTCATATAAGCTGATATGACTCTTCCTCCCACCAAAGGGTTACAACCTATGGAGTCTTTTTCTTACTGCAAACATTGAGCAGTTCTTCACAATGGTCTGTGCCAGTTGGTTGCAGTCTTTGCAAAGAATTGTTGTTGTGAACCATCAAAATCAGAATCAACTCACAGCTGACCCTCCAGCAGGATTTTAGAGGCAGTAAATCGCAAGGGAGGAGATTTCCATGGAGTAGCTGGTAGATTTGAACCATGTGCCTTTCGTATTGCAATGCAGCTTCTTACTACTAGGCCACCAGAACTCCCACAGGGGATGGCACCTGTAGAATGTCTGATTCCTTATTTGCTGTTGCTGATTGCCATCAGGTTGAGTACAAGTTTACAAACAAATGACCCGAATTCTTTCTATAACTATCATTGTTTCTCTAAATTCACAGAGTTTCCAGAGGCATACTATTTAGGAAGTGGATGCCACTCCTGCTTCCAAACCTGTTTGGGAGCTCCACCAAACACTGTCACCATGGGTAACCATTATGCCATTTGACACACCAATGGCATAAGATTCGTCATCACAGCAACCCCAGATTACCTCAGTACAGCAAATGGACAGACCAGTGCTGTACCACTTGGAAGAATGTCCCTCCAAAATATAATAACACGGTCCTTGGGTTCAACAGACTTTTAAATACAAAGGCCCAGCACGAGGTTGTGTTGACTCTAAACAAGAGGTTTAAATAAAAACAGCTATATCATCTCACTCCAGTAAGAATAGAGAAATTTAACAGAACAGCAAACATCAAATGTTGGAGAGGTTGCTGAGAAACTGGAACACTTATTCACTGTGGGTGGGAGTGTAAAATGATGCAGGCACTATGGAAGGCTGTATGGCACTTTCTCAAAAAGTTGCAAATAGAAATACCATTTGACCCAGCAACTTCACTAATTGGAATATACCCTAAAGGAACCAGAACTACCACCCATGCAAAAAGAGCTGGAAACAATCCAAGTGCTCATCAACAAACAAATGGATAGAGAAGCTGTGGTATATTTACACAATGGAATACTAAGCAGCATTGAAAAACAAGGAACTCATGAAATATATAAAATGGGTGACCCTGGAGGACATTATGCTGAATGAAATATCTCAGTCATGAAAGTACAAATATTGCATAGGGCCACTGTTGTAAAATGGGACTGACATAGAGGTTGAGGGAAGACTGAGAAAGAGGGGATAAACAATGTATACTGCATTGAAACAGATGAGGGAGAGAACTGTTTAGAAGGGATATATGATTGGGTATCATTGTCATGACAGGAGTCCAGAATGAAGGCTGCATAGTGGAGTGGACCTGGGGGGAGGGATTGCATAACAATGAAAGAGTTTTACTTTTCAAGGAAAGGAGTGAATTGGGGGGGGGGCAGAGAAAAAAGTACAACAATGAATAAATGGAAACTCTAAGTCTCTGTAAACTTTCATTAAAATTAATAAAGAGAAAGAAGAGACGATAGCACTAGGGATATCATAGCCATTATTAGATGAATTTTTAATAGTGAAACTAATAAAAAAAAGAGGCATAAATTAAAAAAACAATCAAACATTCCACACCAACCATCAACCAAAACAACAGAGCCCACCTTTCAGAGTCCAACCATTTCACCATCAGTCTCCAAACTGGAGACAAGGGCCCAGCCTTAAATACAAAGACACTCCCTGATCTGGTTCTTTAGCCACTCTAAAAAGAATTGCTGTGCCCACTTGAACTTACTCAAGCATGTTAGAAGCTGTCCCAGTTTTCTAGATAAAAAAGACATTATTTGTTTATCACGCCACAACTTTTAGGTATATTGAATTCACAATCTGAGTTTCATTCTCACTCTACTATTCAACTACATGTGTGATCCTCAATTACAGTAAGCTTTCTACAATCTTATTTTCCTCAAATACAAAAGAAAAGTCAACATACTTTAGAAGGTTACTGTGAGAACTAAGTGGAATAACTTCTGTTAAATACTAAAACAAGAACCATTCTTTTATCTGCCATTCTACTTCTTATATTGTAATCAATGTTGGTCCCAAAACACTGTCCTCAAAACAGAAAGCAGAACTTTCCTAGACTGTCTGGTATTTCACAGCAAGATGTGCATATGGTTTGAGATGGTTCTTAATCTCCTAGACTCAAGCTGTTGGACTCTCTTGGTTGGTGCCCAGAGGAAAGTCCTACCTACACTGGGCTGAGGGACCAACATGGCTTGGCTGAGAAATGAGGTAACTCAGCTTTTGTGTGCAACCTTCATGAGATAAACTGTTGTGGGTAGCACAACAGAGCCATCTAAGACTGATTCTGGTTGAAGCCACTACCTACTCAGTGGGCACAACATGATACCTGATGAGTGTGAGGTCTCATCTGGGAAGTGTCATGCTGGAGATAACTAGAGAGTGCTGAAGGCAAGGGGAGAAAGGTGGAAAGACTCAGCCTGGCTGTGTGGGAAGCCTGCACTCTAAATAGGTTTAGTGCTGAAGAACAAGAAGGAATCTTGTTGTTATTGGTTGTTAGGTGCCTTTTAGTGAATCCCAACTCAGAACTACCCTATCTCTTCTCAGCTGTATTCCAAATGCCCCATAGTATCCCTAGTGCCCATCAATATTTTCCAATCCGCTATGCTTGAGTCCATCACTGCAGTGCTATGTCAATCCATCTCCTTGACAGTCTTCCTCTTTTTGGCTAACCCTCTACATTACAAAGCATGATGTCTTTCCCTAGGGGGCATCCTCCTCCTGAGAATATGCCCAAAGTATATGAGATGAAGTTTTGCCATCTCACTTCTAAGCAGCATTCCTGATGTGTTTTATCCAAGACTGATTTGTTTGTTCTTTTGCATTCCTTAGTATGTCAGTGTTCTTCATCAGCACTGTAATTCAAAGGAATCAATTCTTCATCAGTCTTCCTTATTCATTGTCTTTCACAAATATGCTGTTGTTGTTGTTTTATTAGAAGCCATCAAGTCAGTGACAACTCATAGAGACCTTAAGAACAAAAGACATGAACTGAATCTTGCACTATCCTATCCCATCCTCATCCTCTGCCACATTCAAGCCTGTTGTTATAGATACTGTCAGTCTTTGAGGGTCTTCTTCTCTTT